AGCAGGGTCTGCAGGTGCACCCAGGGGTTCCCCCCACCCCTCCCTAGCTGGGCGATCCCAGTTTGTCTGGGATGCTCAGCCCGAGCCCATTTGCACGGGAGCAGCGTGCCTGGGGCTCGGCACCCACGATCCCGGCTCTGCTCCCTTCCAGCTGCGGCGGATGCAGGAGATGCTCCAGAAGATCCAGAAGCAGATGAAGGACTCGCACTAGCCCGTCCCTCCTCCTCCTCCTCCTCCTCGTCCTCCTCCTGGCCCCATCAGAAATGTTTACATCACGCTCCTCCCGCCCGGCCCCGCTGCCAGACTCGGTACCAACACCCACCCACCACCTTAAGCTGCGGCATCGCCTTATCCAACCCCCAGCGCCCGCGGGGACAGCCGGGGACAGCGAGGGAACACCGGGGACAGCGAGGGGACACCGGGGACAGCGAGGGACAGGGCAGCCAGCCCGGGGTCCCCTGCCCCTTTCCCCCCCACTCACTGGGGACAGCTTGGTCCCCCAGGCTTTGGTTTCCCATTTCTCCACAGCTCTGGGGAGGGCCCTGGCCAGCCTGGTCCCCACAGCGTGTCCCTTGTCCCCGTGTCACCCTGGGCTCCCTGCTTACAGCCTTTATGCTCAGCTTGGCCCTGGCTTAAGGGAAGAGGAAAAGGGGGCACTGGTGCCAGCCCCCCAATGCCCCAGCTGCTGAGGGGGACAGGGCTGTTCCCCTGGCCTTGGCTGGCGTGGAGGGACAGCAGCTCCTGGGGACCACAGGGGACAGAGGGGATGGAGGGACAGCCAAGGGACAGCCACCATCCTGCTCCCTGCCAGCACCAGTGCAGGGGGACTGTGTCCAGCTCTGTGTCCTCACCCTGTCCCCACAAAGTGACAGCAGAGCTGTGGCACGAGGAGCACTGGGGAATCGGTGTCCCCAGGGAAAATCCCTTGAACCCCAAATCAGAGGCTGGGCACCCCCAGCCCGCCGTGATGTTGGCCCTGTAAAGCAATAATGAGTGTCCTGTGCCCCTGGCACCTCTCACCCCATGGCAACAGCACCGGCCCTGGCTGGAATTTCAGCCCCTGCTGCCACTTGCTTGTCTGTGGTGTCCTGTGTGCCCAGGATGTCCCTGTCCCTGCTGCTTCTTGGCACAGCAGCCCTGTGTATTCTCCAAGGATATCCCCATGTGTGCTGCTTCCCAGCGAAGTGCTGCTGCGTGTCCCCATGTCCCCCATGGTGTCCCCATGTCCCCCATGGTGCCCCCATGTCCCCCACCGTGTCCTGGTTGGTGTTGCTGCCCTACAGAACACTGCAGCTTGTCCCCCCCTCCCCGGACTGTCCCCATCTGTGTTGCTTTCCCACAGAGCTATGTTGCATCTCTGTGTCCCCCTGGGATGTCCCCAGCTATGTCACCACCCTGCAGGGCTCTGTGCCCTGTCCCAGTGTCCCCAAGGATGTCCCCAGCTGTGTTGCTTCCTGCAAAGCCCCACTGTGTGTCCCCAGGGTGAGCCCTGGCCACCCCTCCAGCATCCCCAGGGAGATGGATCCAAACCCCTCCGGGTCTGGGAGAGCCTGCAGGGGATGGGGAGGATGCAGCAGGACTGGGAGCACTGGGATGAGTGGGATCAGTGGGAGCAGTGGGAGGACTGGGAGCACTGGGATGAGTGGGATCAGTGGGAGCAGTGGGAGGACTGGGAGCACTGGGATGAGTGGGATCAGTGGGAGCACTGGGAGCACTGGGATGAGTGGAGCAGTGGGATCAGTGGCAGCAGTGNCAGGAGCTGGCTGCCGTCCCCACGCCGCAAGTCGTAAGCGCCCGGGGTGCCCGGGACCACGGCTGTCCCCACTGCCATCCCCATGGCTGTACCCGTGGCTGTCCCCAGGGTGGTGGCTGGTCCTCTGGCCGTGTCCCGTCTCTCCTCCCATCCCTGCCACCTCTAGGCTGCATGTGCCTGGCTGCTGCGGTTTGGGGGCTTGTGAGGCTGAGCTGGGTGGTGCCACGTCGGGCTGGCACTGCCACCGCCACTTTCACCTCCTCCTTTGGTCCCCAGATAAAACGTTTCCTGAAGGAGGACTCGGACGAGGCTGAGCTGACCCAGTTCCTGCGGGATTGCCCAGCAGCTGACAGCTCCAGGAAGGTGGAGGCCTCGGAGAGCCGGCGGGAGCCCGGCCACCCCTTGGGCAGCGGGGCCAGGGTCTCCCCAGACGAAGGCAGTGACGAGAGGGACGCCAGGATTTTCTCCCGCTCCCGGCCCGCGGATTTCCAGCAGCACATCGCCGCCCCCCCGCCCCCCAGCCCCAACCGCCCGCGCAGCCCCTGGGGACAGCTGGACCCCTACGACTCCTCCGAGGTGCGGGATGTATCCCTGGGCAGGGAGGGAGGGACACACACGGGGGGCCAGGGGCTGCGGGATGGGGGATGTTCCCATCTTGTGAGTACAAAGGCTTTGGCCAGTCATGGGCTCATCCCCTGGGAATCCTTTGGTGGGCCAGAGGAAGGGGGTTCCCAGGGTAGGAGGTGTGCTGGTGGTGTCCCTATCCCACGTCCCCTCTGCCCTCTGCAGGATGACAAGGAGTACGTGGGCTTTGCCACGCTGCCCAACCAGGTGCATCGCAAGTCGGTGAAGAAGGGCTTTGACTTCACCCTCATGGTGGCAGGTACGGGGGTCCAGCCAGCCTGGGGTGCTGACCCCACCCTGCAGCCCAAACAGCCTGCACTGGGGAGGGGGATCCTGGCTGCCCCCTCATCTTTGTCCCTCTTTCTCAGGGGAATCCGGGCTGGGCAAGTCCACCCTGGTCAACAGCCTCTTCCTGACAGACATGTACAGGGACCGCAAGCTGCTCAACGCTGAAGGTCGGGGACAGTCACGGCCCACAGGGGTGTCCCGGGTGACCTGGGCAGTGGCAGAGCCCAGGGATGCTCTGGGGGCTGCAGCCCCTCTCCCTGCCCCTGAAATGACATGTGCTGTGTTGCCAGCTGCCCACTGGCACTGGGGACTGCTCTGAGGCAGTGAGAACCCCCCTGCACAGCATGGGGACCCCCCACGGGGACTTTATTCCACGGGAAAAACAAGCCCTGGCTTGTTGGGGATTGGCTGGAGCTGCAGCATTTCTGGGAGGCTGGGGACAGTCAGGGCCTGGAGCACAGTGCCAGTTCAGCTGCAGCCAGTTTTTGAATTAAAATGGCCCAAAGTTGCCCAAATCCCCAGGAGGGGTTTGTTTGACTTGTTTCCGTTGCTTGGAGTGAAAGCCAAAACACACAATGCAGCAGGAGCATCCTTGGGGACGCAGGGACATAGAGGGTCCTGGGGTGAAGGGGCACGTGCAGTCTGGAGCTGTGGGGTCTCCTGAAATGCTCCTGAGCAAGGCCCAGCCCCAGCAGAGCCCTGTGCTGCCTGAGCTGGGCTCCTGGGGTGGCAGTGGCACAGCCACCAAGGGATGGGTGCCCACCATCTGTGGGGATGTGGGGACCACAGCATGGAGCCTCCTCTCCTTACTGGAGCATGGCGTGTGCTGGAGCTGATCCAGCTGGGTCACCCAGCCCCAGGGTGGGGATGGCGCTTGGGGGTTGCAGCTTGTCCCCATGGTGTCCCCCTTGGTGACGTGTGTCCCTCCCCACAGAGCGCATCACGCAGACAGTGGAGATCACCAAGCACGTGGTGGACATTGAGGAGAAGGGGGTCAAGCTGCGCCTGACCATCGTGGACACGCCGGGCTTTGGGGACGCTGTCAACAACACCGAGTGGTGAGTGTCAGGTGTGGGGACTGTACCCAGGGTGGGTGGGATGCTGAGTGCCATGGGGTGGGGACTGTACCCAGGGTGGATGGGATGCTGAGTGCCATGGGGTGGGGATATCCCCAGGTTGGGGACAGCCCGTGGTGGGTGGGATGCCCATGGTTCTCTAGGCTTAGGTGCTGAGCCATGGAGGTATTGAGCTGGGGGTCCACAGAGAGCAGGGGGGGTCTCACAGAGTACTCGGTGTCACCTTGCTGTCCCCGCAGCTGGAAGCCGGTGGCCGACTACATCGACCAGCAGTTCGAGCAGTATTTCCGTGACGAAAGTGGCCTCAACCGGAAAAACATCCAGGACAACCGAGTGCACTGCTGCATCTACTTCATCTCGCCCTTTGGCCACGGGTAGGGGCAGCCCCGCCTGCGCTGCCGGGGGACGGGCAGGGGCTCGCTGGGACCGGGCTCACCGGGCTCCCCCCGCAGGCTCCGGCCCCTGGACGTGGAGTTCATGAGAGCTCTGCACCAGCGCGTGAACATCGTGCCCGTGCTGGCCAAGGCTGACACCCTGACCCCCGCCGAGGTGGAGCGCATGAAGAACAAGGTGAGGGGAGCTGTCCCAGCAGGTCCCCAGCCATGGTGGTGCCCTGGGCTCTCCATCCATCTCCTGCCTGGAATTTGCCCTGGAGCATTTTCCAGGCTCGAAGCACTGTAGATGACCATGTTGTCCCCATGGCCACCAAGGACACATCTGCCCCGGGCTCAGTTGGGGGTTGGAAGAACTGGGGGTGTCCATGACATCTGGTCTGGTGGGACCAAGTTTTGGGGGCCATTGGCCCTGTGTGGTGCCTTCCACGCCCTTCCCGAGGCCAGAGCCCTGCCCTCAGGGAGCTGTTTGCCTCCAGATCCGGGAGGAGATCGATCACTATGGCATCCGCATCTACCAATTCCCTGAGTGCGACTCGGACGAGGATGAGGAGTTCAAGCTGCAGGACCAGGCACTGAAGGTGGGTCTGGCTCCTCCAGCTCCATCACTGGAGGGGCAGAGCCCTGTGGCCAGGAGGACACATCACCCTGGGGTACCTGCAGGACTCTTTGGGGCCAACAAGCTCTCCAGCATGGAGACATGTCACCAAGATCGCATGGGTGGCACCTGCAGCTTGGTGGGATGGGGCTTGGGTGGGGAAACCCATGCCACGACCTCTGCTGTCCCACTGGGGCTCTTCACAGCCGAGCCTTTGCAATATCCTGGCAAATGGGTGCTGGACACAGCCGAGGAGGGCACGTGGAGGGGTGCGGGTCCTGGGAGGTGGGGGTCATGGCAGGGCCCTGCTGATCCCCCCGCCCTTGCAGGAGAGCATCCCCTTCGCCGTCATCGGCAGCAACACGGTGGTGGAGGCCAAGGGCCGGCGCGTCCGCGGGCGCCTCTACCCCTGGGGCATCGTGGAAGGTAACGCGGGGCTGCCCCTGTGGGGACAGGGACACGGCTGGGACAGGCTGTGGGCCCTGACCCCACGTCCCCCGCAGTGGAGAACCCGTCCCACTGCGACTTCGTGAAGCTGCGCACGATGCTGGTGAGGACGCACATGCAGGACCTGAAGGACGTGACGCGGGAGACGCACTA